CGGCCTTCCGTGTCACCCCAGTAGAACTTGGGGAGCAAGAGAAAACCAACACAAACATGACGTTCAATGCTGCTCCATGTGCCACTAAGAACAGAATCCTTGGGCTCTAACTCAAGAGCTTCACATCTTCTGCCAACATCCATAAAATAGTAAAAGGCTAACTCTTAGTTTGTAAGCGGGGTAAAAAATTAAATCCCAAACCCAGTGTTGTCCAGCCACCCCAAAAGCCCTTGGCCCTCTACCCTACTCATCCCATTCCCAGCCCTCTCCCTTTCTCTAAAAATATAACTATCCTACTTTTTACAGTAAACACTAAGTGTACATGCAAAAACACATCATCTTTTTTTTTTAAATAGATATATTTTTAAACTTTTTTTTTTTCTTGAGTGAGAGAGATGGGAGGAGGGGTGAGGGAGAGAAATGATCTCAAGCAGGCGTCATACCCAGCACTGAGCCAAATGCAGGGCTTGAGCTCAACAACCCTGAGATCATGCCCTGAGACCAAAGTCAAGAGTCAGGCACTTAGCCAACCGAGCAACCCAGGCACCCCTGTTTTTCGAGTCTTTTAATCTACAAGCTCTCCCTTCATTCCTCTCTTTTTCTTATAATCTGTTGAAAACAGGCCATTTAACCTACAGAATTTCTCAGGACTTTACTGAATGCACATGCACCCTACCTATTTTGAACAGCTGTGAATCCTCACACACCAACTGAGTCAGTACCCTACTGATAAACACCGAGTGATCTTCAACTTCTGCTATTACAGGGATGCACGAGTATTTTTAAGCATGGCTCTCCAAGAACTATAGCCAAGTGTTTTTGTAGGACTTTTACAGAGAGTCAGACTTTGGGGAAAGAATATTCCAGAATCTCCTGTTAATGCACTAGAATGACGGAAATGAATAGATGAATAAAAGGATTTTTTTTCCTATCTGGAAAGATTGATGGCCTTCTCAAAACCTAAAAACAAGTATTAGCGCACTAAACAAAATTATTCAAGCAAAAGGGTAGAAGAAAAAAAGATGAACTTTCCAGTATTAGCATAATTTATGTTAATTCCGCAGGAAAAAAAAATCCCTTTTCCAAAAGTATCGCAAGTATTTAACTAAAACCTAGAAAAGGTTTCTCTGAAGAAAAATTTATCCAATTAGGAAATATTACAGACTAGAGTGAGAAATGAAATTCTCGTACAACTCAAAGTTGGGGGGCGGGGAGAAGGGAGCCACAGAAGGGTAAAGGAGAACACAGAAGGGAAAGAAGAAATGCTTCTAGCCAGAGCTATTTTAAAGAAGGCAAAGTAATTTAAGATGGGAATTAGAACTTTCTTAAATCTTTACTGTTCATCCAGGAAAGACAACAGGTTCACATTTGTTTTTTTTTTTTTTTTAAGATTTTATTTATTTATTTGACAGAGAGAGAGAGATCAAAAGTAGGCAGAGAGGCAGGCAGAGAGAGAGGGGGAGCAGGCTCCCTGCTGAGCAGAGAGCCCAAAGCAGGGCTTTTTCAATCCCAGGACCCTGGGATCATGACCTGAGCCAAAGGCAGAGGCTTAACCCACTGAGCCACCCAGGCGCTCCTTGCAGGCTACATTTTGGAAAACACTTCAGAGCCTTCATAAACATTGTGAGAAATGAAACTTTCCTCTGAGGAAAAACCAGGACCTGGTACATAGGCAGCACTGCAAAAATGCTTAATAAGCTGAATGAGCAATTCATCATTCTAGTGATGCAGTCCTGCTGTGACACAAGCCTGAGCAAGCTGCACTGTCGATACCCAAATCCCAATCTCACACCTTTCGTTACACCTAACATCCGCTGCCATCAAACCAGGTTGCAACCAAAGACAAACCCAAGAAAATATCCTACCTGAAGCAGAACACGGTTTCTCTTGACATCTGACTTTCCTCTTTATCCCCATCACATAGCCTTCTCACTCCTAAGATTTTCATCAATTGCCAGCTAATGTTGAATGCCACTGAATTTAAATTACTGTAACCCAAATAAGACACCAAGCACTACATAAGCAAGAGCCTTAGCACCAAAGAGCATTTCATAAATGCGGACTACTCAAGCTTCACTCAATCCTTCCTGACTTCAAACTGGGTCAGTCAATTCTTCCACATGGCAATACTCTATTCTCTCACCTTTTGTGATACCTTCTCCTTTACATCTTCAATTATTACCTCTAAGCTCCTGGCTCAAACCTTCATCTGTATCTTTACTTCTCCAGAAGCCCACGCCCCTATTTCCAACTGCCTACTAGAATTACAGGAGCAACAACATGTGCCCCATGATCAATTTGGTAAAAACCAAATTTACCAACATATTTCTCCCCAACAAATCTATCTCTCCTCCTCTGTTCCCTATAACAGGTTAAGGCATCACCATTTTCTCAGTCAACAAAGCTCAAAATGTTGGCGCTATCCCTGATTCCTTCTTGTTCTCCTCCCCTCTCTGCCAACAATCTGAGGCAGTTACCAAGTACCAGAGAATCCATTTCTAAAATGACTCTCTTATCTATTCATACTGTTCTATTCCCATATTGTAGCCACACAGGATCATTACAATTTTCCTTCCTGGCAGATTTCCAGAAGCTCTGCCTGACAGTCTATCCTTCACACTGCCATCAGAGCAATTTTGCTAAAACACAATTTCAATCTTGTCCCTGTCATTCAGAAATGGTCTATGACTCCCTATCAACTTCAAAAACATCCACACAGTCTCTCCACATCCGATCCTGGGTAAACTCTCCACGCCCATCACTGCATCGCACTCCGCATAACAGACACTCAGAAAGCCCTGAATGTAACCTCCATTCTCCTATGTCACCATTCTTGCCACCTAGAACAAGCATACTGTGCAACAGAAAACAGACTTTGGGAGTCCTACAGACTCAAACATTAGGGCCACAGAAGGACTGCGTGGGAAACGGCCTATTTCTGAAGGGCATCTAAAAGCCAACACTGGGACCAAGACAATTTAGCCCTTAGGCCCTGATGAAAGTTCAGTTTACCTTCCTTCCTTCCATGCAGTTTGTGCCTTAGGTAACCACAGTCCAGGTGAACTGGATTCTGTCTTACCGTTCTACTCTACCTGGCGGCTGATGCGTAAATATGAATCAGCAGCATTGTTTTTTGTTCTCTTTCCAGGAAACTCCTCAGTTCCTATGCCTACATACTAAAATATCAAGGGGAGGAAGGGTGACTCCAGTCTTCACTCGCTCATCTCCACTCAGGCCTGAGACGCATTCTACGATGGGTACCGAACACCCACTCTAGGTCAGCTGCAAGGGAGCACAGCAGGGAAGTCTACAGAGCCAGACTCGACTCAAATCCCACTCTTATTTACCAGCTGAATGACACGGAGGCATATTACACAGCCTCTCCATCCCTCCATTTCTAACCCATTAAATAGGGATAAGGCCATAATCCCTTAACCAAAAACCCTTGGGTCCGGATGTGTTTCAAAATCCAGAAAATTTTCTAAGATTTTGGAAAGGTAACACAATACGTATTAAAGAAAATAAAAAATCCCAAGTGGAACCTGGTCAGCACACTGCGATAAAACGCTTTAACACTTCTGCATCGAACTATGAACATCTGCACTTGTTAGAATAAAGAAAAAAGAGCTTCAAGTACGTTCAAGTCAGATTTTTGTCACAAAATGCACTTATCACAAACTAACCACAAACCTTTGATTCTGAGGTTTCAGAATTGCAGATAAAAGATCTGTAGTGCCAACTCTACAGGACCACAAAGAGAACCAACTGAGCAGTACTCACCAAGTGCTTGGAAGAGGACGTGACCTACAGTAAGTGCTACGGCAGAGTGATTTATTTTTATGTGCAAGGCGCTTGTCAGACTGTACGAGAGTATCTTAGTCCGCCTGCGTTGCTATAAGAAAAATATCACAGACTGGGGGGGCTCAGTACAACATGTCTCACAATTCTAGAGGCTGGGAAGTCCAAAATCAAGGGACCTGTTAATTCAGTGCCTCATGAAGTCCCTCTTTCTGGTTCACAGAAGGCTGTCTTCTTGGGATCGAACCCTGCATTGGGCTAATAAAATAAATTAAAATTAAAAAGGGGCGCCTGGGTGGCTCAGTGGGTTAAAGCCTCTGCCTTCAGCTCAGGTCATGATCCCAGGGTTCTGGGACCGAGCCCCACATCGGGCTCTCTGCTCAGCAGTGAGCCTGCTTCCTCCTCTCTCTTTCTGCCTGCTTGTGATCTCTGACTGTGAAATAAATAAATAAAATCTTTAAAACAACAACAACAACAAAAAAACCCAAAGAAGAAGGCTGTCTTCTCACTGCGTCCTCCCTCATCAGTCAAAACAGGTGAGGAAGTTCTCCTGGGTGTCTCTTATAGAGTCACTAACCCCATTCATGAGAACAGCACCCTCCTGACCTAATCATCTCCTAAAGGCCCCACCTCCAAATACCATCACATTGGGCATTAGATTTCAACATATGAATTCTGGGATGGTACAAAGACTCAGTCCATAGCACAGAGAAACAAAAATGAATAAAAATTATTTCTTCCTCGTAAAATGATAAACTAAAAGTATCTCTGAAAGGGTACCAAAGGCATCTAAGCTCCGGAAGACTATTTTAAGTACAACTGTAGCTAGCAGGTATGAAATGATTACACGCCAAGCACTAGATTTTTAAATGAAGTCTTTACTATTCATAAGCACTCTAAGACAGATATTATTATATCCACCTTATGTCTAAAAAGAAGTTGAGAAAGATGAGGTAATCTACCAAAGATTAAGTAGTAGACCCATTATTTAAACCCAAGCATTCTGACTTAAAGGTCCATGCTCTTATGCATAACCTTACACCATCTCCTAGTTATGTGTCAAGCCTTGACACTATACAATTGGGAACCATGGTGCATGAAGGACAACACAATCTGCCAATATTCCTCTACTTCCCTAACAATGACATTTCACATTACACATCATAACCTAACAATGCCAACAAAACAAAATGCAAACTTACCAAATGCTGCAGTATGACATTAGTCCTGTTCAATGAATTAAACCTGAAACAAATGTAGAATACAATGTCTCAGTGCATAAACACCACATTTCCTTTCGTTTTAGCCTCTTCTAAAAGGTATTGGGAAAAAAATGAATTTGAAACAAAAAAGGGTAGAGATTCTTTTCCCCTTCATTCTGTTCAAGGTATGTCCCCCCCCAAAACAAATTGGAAACCATGGTATAAAGGAGAAAGGACCTCAAAAAAAAAAAAAAAAAGGCAACTGAACACGACGTGGGGGAGGTGAGAAGACTGCAACTTGCTCCCAGGGCCTGGAGAAAACTTTAGAAGGTTAGACTCCACTAGAATCCATCAGTCATTTCTACTTCTTCCTCCTTTCCCTCCTCCAAATCATCATCACCTTCACCCCCTTCATCATTACGTCAAGAACCAAGGAGCACTGTAATAGATTCGGCCAAATACCATCTCTGATGACCTTCCCTGAACTCACCTGCACCTCCATCAGAATCATCCGCAAGGGGCACCTGGGTGGCTCCGTTGGTTACAGGACTGCCTTCACCTAAGGACATGATCCTGGAGTCCGGGGATCAAGTCCCATATCGGACTCCCTGCTCACCAGGGAGCCTGCTTCTCCCTCTGACCTTTCCCCTCTCATGCTCTCTCATTCTCTCTCTCAAATAAATAAATAAAAATAAAATCTAAAAAATAAAAATAAATAAAAATCAGTAAACCAGAGTAAACTCATGCTCTCTCTTTCTGCTGACTTTACTCTGCATCTAATTTTAACATTCTGTCAAATCCTTTCTAGATTTCCATTTGATTTCAATGGACTTTGAAGATGGATCACCACTCTGATTTGGATGAAATTCTTGGGAAAGAACTTTACTTTCAAAGTAATGTTTTCCATCAAAATAAAGATCTATTCTGTAACCTGATTTAATATCTTAGAATTCTGTCACTTCAATTCCTGTCAAATAATGCACTGCAGACACTTATGGGTAAGTGACAAATGTTAACCCAAAAATGTAGGATTTGGGAAATCAATTCCAACGTCTTCTTGAAAAAAAAAAAAAAAAGGTAGTCAGCAGAGTTATACGTCTGTTCTGCTTTCAAAATCTCATTGGCTTGTTCAAGTCTACTGCATTCTGTACGTCATTAATATATTCAACTGCTCCTTGCTGTTCTTCTTCCGCGGTGATGGGCTCCACTGTGGTTAAAGGTGAGTTCCTTTTTACTGACCTTGGGGTTGGGGGTGGGGAGGCAAAGGCTGCAGGCCGCAACTTGGTCCAGTCACCTCTAGTGATATTTTATAAATGGTCATCTATACAAAACCGTTACAAACCCAACAAAAATGTTTACTTAAAAATATTTAAGTAATACTTTTGGAAAATAGTCATGATAGAAATTACAAAAAGAAAGCAAACTATAAAATAAACATAACACCTCTAAGTTTGTTTCAAAAGTGTTTGGTTAGGCGTACAAAGCTTAGGACACAGCTTGGCAAAAGTGATTAGTAAGAACAGAAGTCAAAATGGTAGAAGGTGGGGGAAGCTGGGAGGGGGCAGGAGGAAATCTGGAGTGGTAAAAATTATCTCTATCCAGATGATGGTTACAGGACTGTATACATATGTGCAAAAGTTAACTGAGCTAACAGACTTCAGAAGAGCACTTTTCAGTACTTCGTGAACACTACAATTAAATAAGTAAAAGCGCCACGGGAACGAATGGGCAGTGACTAGAAGGAACATGAGGAAGGCCTCTGAGATGCTTGTACTATCTTTTTCTTTTTTCTAAGATTTTTATTTATTTATTTGACAGAGATCACAAGTAGGCAGAGAGGCAGGCAGAGAGAGGAGGAAGCAGGCTCCCCGCTGAGCAGAGAGCCCGATGCAGGGCTGGATCCCAGGACCCTGAGGTTATGACCTGAGCTGAAAGCAGAGGCTTTAACCCACTGAGCCACCCAGGGACCCCATCGTACTATCTTTTTCTCTTGTTCCAAGTGCCAGCAAAATGGATAGGTTTGGTTTGTGAAAATTCATCAAATTGTATTTTTATGCTTCAAGCTTTTTTTTTTTTAAAGATTTATTTATTTATTTGACAGAGAGAGATCACAAGTAGGCAGA